AAAAAAAAAAAAAAAAAAAAAAAAAAATAGTCAAGAATTAACACAGTCTGCTGTGCAATGAAGTCACTAAATACGAGTTCACAATATTCGCCAGTCCCAAATTGACTCCTAGTCAGTGGTGTCCTTTGTACTATGTATAATATTAGTGGGTCAGTAGTGTATTCTGGATCAAGGTAGTTTGGCGTATGTCAGCTACACCTAAGCTGTGTTTATTCAGAAGAGAAAAAATCTTAAATTCAAACCGAGTCCTTGACGTACAAGGAAATCGGCAGAGAATTTCAGGGAATTGTTAGCCATGCGTTTTCATAGCGGCGTTCTAAAATGGCCAAGAAAGGTCTCCGTGTTCGCAGCGCTGGACCAAAGCAATATCGCAGAGGTCCTTACTGTGGGTTCTGGTTCTATTTTTACGATAAAATATGTATGCCATGAGTTAACAACACTTTTGTCGATATTCTTATTTACCTAGAAACGGTTGCCACAAGCCTTTTTCTCCAAGGTTTTACAAGGAGCTGTCAGAGGATCACCAACTTTGTTTGTTATACTTTTTAAGCAAGCTTTTCGTTCGTTCTTTGAGAAAACACAACAAAACATGACATTTCTATTTCCTCTTTTCTTCGAATAGGAGCAGCGTCCCTTTTTATGGGTCTAATCAATTTAGTTTTGATTTGTGAATTTGAATTCATAATCATTTGGCTGGAGGCAATACTCAGCAGCAAATATTTAATGCTTTATTAACCATAAGAATCTTCTTATCCCCCTCAATTCTCTCCACAGTGCTCCTCCTCCGACGGTTTCTAAAAGGCTAATTCAGCATGAGTTCGCTTTTACGAGGGTCAGCCAATAAGGAGTGCGTACTTGCCGTGTTTTTCTGCAGTTATATTTGGATTGGTCATTATAACCACTCTTTATCACTTGATGCTACAATCATGGTATCAAAAAAAGTGCCGAATCATTAATGAACACGTTGTTACCATTTTTGTGACACCATTTTTTGAAAATTTAAGGTGGCTCTGAGCCCTATGTACAAATATCTTTGAAACTTTGCCAAAAGTTGCATCTTATCATGCTTAGTAATATTTGATATTAAAAAAAAAAAAAAAATTCATCGTGCCGTTTTCGAATTATAAGCCACTAAAGCTGAAATTAAGGTTTTTTTAAGCAGGTCATACTGTTGCTATGGTAACCTATTGTGTCACGAAAATAATAACAACGTGTTCACCAATGATTGGGCAGTTTTTTTTTAAACCATGATTGTAGCATCGAGTGATAAAGAGTAGTTATAAACGACCCATCACAATCTAAGTGCTAGAAACTGTTTTGAGCCACCTTAAATCACAACAGTGCTATAATTATGATATTGAATAAATTACCTTGTCCCTGCGAAGTAACTTCAAGCCAAGACATGTAGAAAATAGCCATCATATACCAAACCTTTCGGATTGTGTTCCATTCCATTTTGCAGGCAATCTAGAACTGTTTCATTTTCGTGATAGACATATGAGTTAGCGTCAGTCTTAAGAAAAAACCGTGAGATATTAATAATGGACAATTGTTACTAAGCACAGTCAGGCTAGATTTTTCTTTCAAAAATTTTAGAAGATTCTTTTAGATACATTTTTTTCTATAATTATGACTTAATTATCGTGATTATTTCAACATCATGTTCTGTATGACAGTTGTTGATTTTAGTGGAAGATATTATATATATATCGTCAATCCTTCAGTACCGAAAGTTTCCTATAAAAGGTTTTTCTGAAAGAGATCCTAACTCTAATTTCGATCCATCATATAATCTCCTATATAATGATGACTTCTTTTAGATAAGGTTTAAGTATCTGATAAATAATAATGAGAAAGATGGTGTAAGATATTATAGACTTCCCTCGTGAAAAATGGATCAACGATACCACTTTTAGCGGAAAAGATCTGATTCAATAATAATTAAAAGCTTACCTTCGGCAGTTCTAGCTTGGAAGGTCTTGAAGAGACTGAGATATCGTAGTTGCAGTTGATTATATGTGTATATCAATATAATTCAGTTTTCGCAGTTATCCAACTGAACCAGATCATTCCTGGGAGCTACTAACAAGTCTTAAAACAGATGACATGTATATATCACATTCTTGAAGAACGGCTCATCTTCCTACCCAGTGTTGTGAAAACCTATAAGGACATGTACTTCATTATTGACGCAACAAATTAAGTAGCTTAACAATAGTGGGAATTTCGCGAATAGAGCTGTATTGTGCAACAAGTATTTTAAACCACATTCATTAGAGGCTCGATATTGGATACAAGTGCACTTATATAAACAATGGAAGGATATTCTTAACAGATTAACGATATTTATTTTACTTTATCCAAAGATTTGCTGCTTGATCCGACAGGTCAACTGACAGGTTCTCGTTTCTTCGAAGCGAAAGAAATAAACATCTCTATGGGCCAAAAAACAGGCTTTGTGGTTACTTTGTGGTTGAGGTGGCGAATCTACCTCTATTTTACTTGCGATTCATTACAGATTGACCAGAGGACATCTAAAGAGTGCTTAAGAGATATCCTTAAAGGTAGACAATGCACACTACTCCTTTTAGCGGTCGTATTACAAGGTAATTACATACAAATCTATATTTTGTTGCACACCATGTGAACGGTTTAGTTTTAAAAAAAAAGAGATTGACGTAAATTGCGCAATGACCTTGGTGATATGAATACGGAAACGCTCCCGTATTGGGCGCTCGGCAACACGTTGCGAGAGGTTTCAGGAATCTAATATTTATTGGCTGATTCCCACTTGTGACTTGCACTTGACACAACGAGATGAACACTCGCACTTTTAAAAACTTTCGCAAAAACAGGAACTGCAGTGGAAGGCCTAAACAAGGTCAGTACTGACGAACCCATGCAAACATGACCACCTTGCAGCTACTGTAACAAACTTAAACTCCTGAACAAAATGAGTGAGGAAACAAAAAACCATGACAAGATACATATGGGCTAACCTAAAACTGCAAATGATCTCAATTTGGACACTGAAATCTTTTAACTAAGATTAAAATTTGGTAACATAAATTCAGTAACTCAGCAAGCACCATGTCTTGTTAAATTGTTAAATCGTTTCCCATGGAACGAAACGGATTTCTTGAAGGTAATCTATTACATCACTAATTAACAAAACACTCAAAATCTTACTCGTGCGGCTACTAACTAAATCACTATAATCAAACATATTATTAGAAACGAGTGACGCATGCTGGACGAGGTTGCGTGCTTCGGTATCTATAACCAGTAGATAACTACGTGTACATAAACAGACTCTGACCCAAGAACATCATCAGTCACAAAAGATACATGCGCGAAAGTTAAATTCTAATATATCTATAAATAAACTAACCGTGTATCACACACACAAAAAAAGTTCTGTCAATAGAAAAAAAGCCTCGTTCCAGGGACAAATCATGCAGTAATGTAAAAGTAGCGAACACGCCGCTTATTTGAATATCCTACACGACCCTCGTTACTTTCGGAATTACAGTAGCAGCCTTTAGGGCTGACTTCTTTCTTTTTTTTTTTTTGGGAGGGAAGGGGGNGTTACTTTAAAAATGCTAAAAAAAAAACCCGCCATATGAAGTTGATACGACTGCGTCCATTTTACGAAATAACAGACAAAAATTCGTAAAAAAAAAAAAAAAAAAAAAAACAGTTTTTTTTTTAGTTCTTTCTCATTGCATTGCATAAATCTTGCTGTACTCATGTTATTTTATCAGGTATTATTGCCGGCCTCAATGTTTTGAATATCATGAATGAACCAACTGCTGCTGCTGCCGTTACCTTTGGACTCGCAACAAAATCCGAACAAGAAGGAAATGTTCTTGTCTTTGACCTCGGAGGTGGTACTTTTGATGTTTCCATTCTAACAATAGGAGAAGGAATCTTTGAAGTCGAGTCCACAAGTGGGGATACCCATTTAGGTGGAAGGGACTTTGATTTACTATGCGCAGATCACTTTAGAAGGGAAATTATGAAGAACCACGGAAAAGAGATCACCACCAGAGAACCAGCTTTTCATTGATTGAGCATTGCCTCTGAACAAGCCAAGCTCATCTTATCCTCTGCTCAATCATCTGATGTTGCTGTTAAAGCTCTTTTGCAAGATTTCGACTTGAAGACCTCCATCACACGCGCTAAGTTTGTTTTTTTACATGTAGTTAAGATGAAGTGTTTGGTTTTACAATAGTATAGCATTTTACGTGTGTACAATTATGAAAACTGAATGACTGGTCCTGACGAAAACAGTTATTTTTGTTTCCCGAGAATCTCAATATTTCCGAGGAAAATTCACTGGTCTCCCGAGGGACCAGTTATAAGGTGCTTTGTTAGATAGCACATTAGCAGATGTCATCTACATCGACGGTGGTCTGTAAACATTCGCTGGGTAACAGAGCACTGTCACCCTCTGACGTCATAGATTTTGTAAAGTTGCCTGCACTGTGACGTTTTGCACAGAGACCTTTAGACTCCTTTTCATTGCTAAATGTCTTGTGGCCTCGAAGTAACCAAAGAGGGCGCGCGCTGTTGGCGAAAAAAACTCCTGCTATATAATTCTGGTTACTACATGGATTTCTTTGGAACACGTGAATATTTTGTGAAAAAGATTTTAAAAAAGGCAAGAGTTTGCGAGGGACGTTTATGAGGAAGCGTTATCCTCGTATGTCAAATTCAAACTCTTCATTAAACTGATTTAGCGATTAATATTACCATATGTTAATATTCTAACTTGACTCCGAGGTGTAAGAGGATAAAACAAAAGAAATCGCATCCAGGATGAGGGAAGAATACTCAGTTTTTTTTTTGTTTCATTCCTTTAAACTTCGGAGCCAAGGTAAAATTTTAAACCAAGATGGGATTCTTACATCAGTTTCTACAGTGAGAGGGGAGCACATGGAAGATGCAAACCTCTGATTTACAAGCACGTGATATTTGTAGCGTAATAATTGTTGTATGCTCTTTTCCTTTCAGAAACGGCGAGAATAGTCGTAACCTTTGCACAATTTTCGTACATGTGGTCTTTTCGTTTAGTCGCAATTGCTTGGTATTGGGCAAAGCCTCAATGAGCCTCGCTCCAACATATTGAAGGTTATTTATATAACAGGTTTGAAGAATTAAATGATGACTTATTTGGATGCACACTATAGCCAGTAAACAAAGCTGTGCGAGATAGCACGTTCTTAAGGGGTCAAATTCATGAAATGCTGGTGACTGGTGGGTCTATGCAGATCCCAAGGGTTCAAGAGCTACCGAGAGATAATATCAATGGAAAACCACTGAACAAAAGCCTCAATTTACAAGAAGCTGTGGTGTATGGAGCCGCTGTTAATGCTGCCATATTAGCAAACGAAGGAAGTGCTGCAATCCAAGACCTACTTCTGTTGGATATCACACCGCTGTCCTTAGGAATTGAGATGGCTTGAGGGGTGATGACGTCATTAATCAAGCGAAATTCAACTGTGCCAACAAAACAAACTCAAATCTTTACCACTTACGCCGACAACCAAAACGCTATTAAATTTCAGGAAGTGTATTTAAGGAATGAAACTCCTTAAGGAATGAAAGTATTATATCTACATGAGGATATATGAAATAGAAAAAGAATGAAATATCTTTTCGTCTTTTACTCACCGCACTCTAGCCGTCTAAAAACTGGCGTGAAATTTTACTTCCCGGGTTGGGTTGAACTGCGGAGGGTTGAGACCTCGGACTAGCCAGGCTGTGACTCAAAACAAGAACGTAGGTCTACACATTATTCGCAATTGCCTGTCCTGATATTGTAACTGACTTGCTTTGGAAATCATTTCAATGTTGTGTTTTTTGGTCCCGAGTTGCATGTAAAAGCAGCAGCGACTATATTGAATGCACCTGTGTGTCTACTTAGGGAGAGTAAAAAAATTATTTTCTCTTGTTTTTTCATCTCGATTCTTGCGTTAAGGTCTTCGAAGGTGAGAGATATTTGACTCGAGACAACAATCTCCTTGGCGGCTTTGATCTCGTGGACATCGCACCGACTCCACGCGGCGTGCCTCAGATTGATGTAGCATTTGAAGTAGATAAAGATGGCCTTCTGAGTTTGTCCGCTGTCGATTTCACCACGATGGCGGGGATCCAGGTTAGTGAGCGTATAAATAAAAAACTACAAATTAAAATAAGGCTAAAATGTTATAATAAAAACTAAATAATAAAAGAGGATATCCAAAGAGGATATGGATCGATTGATCGAGGAAATGGCACAATGCAAACTATAGTTTTGGAAAGGACTAAATTAGTGTGATACCAATCGAGTTGCAATTAGAAAGGACTAACTCAGTGTGAAACCAATCGAGGTGCTATTAAAGAATACTTGACAATTCATTAAATGAGAACATTACACGTATTTTTATTGTGTCATACAAAAGGCTTCTGTACAGGCTAACTGATAGCGGCGAGGTACATATCCTCTGTTGGTCAGCGACACTAAAAAATGAATTGTTGTAAGCGCAACTAGTAACCACTTTTCTTTTTTGCCCAGGAGGGGGATCTCAGGATATAATAGTGACGGATCAGTGTGGATCCAGGGCCTATTGGGGTTTAAATTTGGGATCTGAGGACTTTTTTGGTTAAAAAGTTTGCCCTTTTGTTGCAAACAATTTTAAGAGTTTAATTTGTGATTCTTTACTTTTTTTCCTCTGCACTTACAAAGAATGACTCCAGTCTGCCTAAAGATGTGACAAATGCATGATCGATAAAGAAAGATGAACGCAAAGCCTGTATGGAACTCTCTGCATGTTTCATCTTTTATTTGGTTTAATGCAAAGAAAAAAAGAACTTCTGGGTTTATGTTTTGAGCTGTTGGGCAGTTTTGGTTTTAGCTTGTTTTAGTCTGATGGGACCTTGTCTGGATTCTATTATCAAGCCTCATTCGCACCTGTCGGTCTCGCTATTATACCGGAGTACTGCCTTTTCCCCCACCCCAGGGGCCGGCCTTCCACCTTCCCTCCCAATACAACACTATTTTTAGATGAAAGCATTTTTGTTCAAAGAATTTCATTTTGGGAACGTAATGGACTTTGAAAAAGAAGTGCTAAATGCGCGCAGAACTGCATAACCTACACAATAATTGTAAACTATCGGGTACAACCTTTACACGATATATATATATTGCTTCCAATGGGCCAATTTCGATATATTAAAATTCTAACTTGGCTGCGAGGCTTAGTACAGTAAAAACCCGCGAATAAGAACCAAAACTTTAAGAACCTTTAAGAACATTTTCCAGTTAGGCACCCTTCAGATAAGAACCATTCTAGGCTAAAATCTCAAAAACAGGTTCTTATTTTCAAAATATAGAGATTTTCAAATAAAACACAGTACATAACATGCAATACAAAAAAAGGCAACAAAAACTAGCCAGAACACTGGCAGTGTTATAAGTCCACACTACTGTACTGTGAATGATTCAATCTAAAGGCCACACCCATGAGTACAAGTTGGCTTTTTTTAAACAAAAATTAAGAACCTGAAAAAACTTAGGTTCTTATAGGCGGCTATTTACTGTATAGGGGAATAAAACAAAAGAAATCGCATTGAAAATAAGGGATAAATAATTAATTTCATTTGTATGTTTTTCCTAAGCCTCGGATCCAAGTCAAATTTCAATATATCGAAATTGACCCATTAAGCGAATAAGTTCTTTTCGTCAGAAAGTCACTTGACAAATGCATAATTGCGTCGCTGGGACAACATCCTGAAAGCGTTGGAATCTGTGTCAGCAGTAGGCCAAAATAAATAGTCTAAATCAGTCTCTCAACCAAAACGGCGATGAATAAGCGACGAAGGAACAATTACATGGAGACGAACGACAAGACTTGTTTTGAAATCTGCGCAGTGAAAGAATTACGAACTGCCAAGGCGAATCTCGCTTTATTGTTAAATGATACTTCAGTGTATACTTAAAAAATGAAATAGCGCCGCTTGGTTCGAGAAATTAAACTGACAGCTTTAAGAGGCAGGTTTTTGTTTTTTGTTTTCTTTAATAAAAAAAAAAGTCAATCAATCCCAGAGAAATTTCTGTTCTGTGTGTAACATTGTCGGAAACTATAGGGTAATGTCGCCTTCATTGCGTGACTTTGTTATGTCACGGTAATGTCTACGTGAGGATCGCGTGCAAGTTCGGATTCATGGCCGGGAAACTGTTACTATGCCTACTTGATTTAATCACGAAGTGTTCTCAAATGGTCTTTAATAAATCGACGGAGAAACTGAAACAGTTTTAACTGCCTTTTGCAAGGTTCAAGCTCTCCTCTTTGTACTTAGATAATTCTCATAGTTTTAAAATGGATTGAGAAATTTTATTCGCGAAATTTTATCAGTTGGAAACGTTTTGTCACGTATTCTATAATTACTAATGATACTTTGACACCTGGGAGTGGCTTCCTGCATGTAACAATGGAAAGACGCTATTATTATTTTTTTATTATTATTATTATTTTTATGCTGAATTTGTTGCCCTTGAAAAGATCTTTTTAGCTTGGGCGCTTTCTTGCCCCATTTCAGACCATGTGATGATACTCTTGTGAATTCTCGCTTTCAAATTTTTAAATAGTCGTGTGTGTATGAACGAATAATTTTTAGATAAACAATTTTCTAGAGAATATCACGTGGTCGGTAATGGAAAACAAACCGCCCAGGTTAAAAAGGTCTGTATCTTTG